CAGTCGTCAAGCTTCGGGCACCAGTTTGGTACCTGCCGAAGGCTCTCCGAAGTTAGCGATATGTAGTAATTTTGGCAGAGTAACAATAAAGGTTAAAAGGCGTTACCTCGTTTTGGGGACTTGTGCCCTTTTTTATAGAGAGGTGGAAGTGGGAGTTTGCATAAAGTTTCAATGTGGGACTTTGTGCAAGTTGATGCAGTAGTGACACGTGTCCGTGGGTTAGGTTCTGTAGTTGAGAGCTTTGGCAACTACCTTCGGCAGGCAATTGCCGCATCGAAAGGGCGTCATGGTGTCGTTGATGTTATCTTCAGCAGGCTTGTGAGTCTGTTCGTGCTCCAATTTCCAGTGCCGAATGTACTTGGTTGAATATGGTATAAACAATTAAACCTCATGTGAATATGGCTATTGAGGATCACATGAAGAGAAGATACTACACTTGGCGTTACAATTTGCATCAGAAATTTCTAGCGTATGGATCCGAGGAGGAGGCACTTGAGCATCAACCTCAAACAGTGGGAGAGGATGATAGGAACTATCTAGTTCAATTATAGTAAAAAGATGAGTGGAAGGTGAGACACTATTTAGTTCCTTTTCTCGGCATTATGCTCATGGATGTGGAATCAGTTAGCAATGAAGTTACATTAAGATATTTTGGATTTCTAGCAATCTATTACTTTTCTGGAACTTTTCCAGTAGTCTATATTTTGATGAAAACATATTTTAAGGCTACTTAAAATATGCTAATCCTCACCTCAGCTTAGTTATACTTCAGCTTAGTTAGACACTCCTAATGGTGTTCATTACTTTTAATACTTCAGTTTAGTTATACATCTAGTGCTCCTCATTACTTTTAATACTTATTTTTGTAGAAAAGTAGTGCAAAAAATAAGGAAAAGAGAAAGAAATTGAAGATCACACATTGTGCTGGGACAAAGGCCTTTAGTCGTATTAGATATGAAAATGTAAGCTTCATTTGACACTTACAATCTTCTTACATTGAAATTTTTTGAAGTTATAATTTATGAAATGTGTAATTAACATGATGGCGGTCTATGACTACATGAAATAAAGAACTTTTGAAACTGGAGAAGAACCTAGCCGTATTGACTTGTTTTAGCTTACTCGATTTAGCACAAAGAAAACAACATGGGTTGGTGAAGATGCCAAGAATGCTTTTGTAAGTCTTTATTGCTTTTGAGCTTTTTCAGATCCTTTGAGCTTATTGTACATAAACATGATGTATATATTCTGTGTAGGATGAGATGAAGAAGTTGAAGAACCTGCCATAAACAGATGAGGAATTTGTTAAATTGATGTCTGATGATGAAATATATGACTCAGTTCTTTCTAACGTTGTTGGTCCACCTAGGTCGGGTTATATATGTGGCTTATTAGGAGCAGGTACCCAAAACCCAAAACATTTAACGCCGGACAATACAGTCATGCAACAGTTGAGGAGGCTAAAAGGAGGGCAGATAAGGTAACTAAAAGGGCTGATGATGCAGAGAAACAATGTATACTTCTAGCAAATGAGTTAACAGAAATGAAGGAGAATTCTGCTGAACAAAAGTATCACTTAGAAGGTTTACATGCAAGGCAAAATGAGACGGATGAACTTAGTAAAAAGATTGCTGGAGCAGTTATCCTCGACTTCACCATCAATGAGGTTAGCTTATAACTCTCATCTTACTGAGTTTAAATATCAATTGTTATAGATTATAATTCACTAGTATATCACTGTGTATATTTGTCCCTGGTGCCAAATTACAGCAAATCAATGGAATTAGCTAGCCGTTAAGATTTCTTGTTACTGTTTTTCACTATATATATTTGTCCCTAGTGATGTATTGTTGCTAGTTTTCTTGTTAACGTTTTGTTTTTTCCTTCTTATTTTTTTCTCCTTATTGGTAGTCTACAAATCTTGTTTTTCATTTGAATTTATCTTCTTGTACATAATTATTCTTTGTTTGTTGCAGGTCTTATGGATAAATTTCTAGTATATCAGAGGACAATCAGAGGGCATAGGACAAAGGACTCTTTGTTTTTGGGAAACAATTGACATTTAGGTTCAACTTAAATACCTAGAATTTTAGTTTTGAGATTTGGGACATTTTGTGAATTTGTTGGAAGAATGTTAGATGTATGGATTGCTTTTGAAAAGGTGTATGGATTGCTTTTGAGATCTATATCACTGTTTAAAAAGAAATTAATTTTGATTACATATTTTAATTCAATAAAGAACAAGGATAGGTAAACCTAATTAGTTACCAATCTTTTGAAATACATCAGTGACCAAGCAAGTAGGTCACTAATGTGGGCACGGGACCCTCTTTTAGTGACCAAAATGAGTGTTTTGGTGACCAAATTGTAGCCCTTTAGTGACCAAAGTTGCGATTACTAATTGCACTTTTATAATTAGTGACCACACTGGCATAATCACTAATTCGTCATATTGTAGTGACCAATACTTGAGAATGGTCACTAAATAGAATTTGTGACGAGCTTCTAGTGACCACCTAGTGACCACCCAGTGACCACCAATATTTGGATACTAATTGCATTTAGTGACCAAGAAGGGTAGTTTCTGTGACCAAATGGGTGGCCACTAATACCTGTTTTTCTTGTAGTGCTTACATCATTATCATGTTGATTTATTCATTGATGTCATTAATATTCAGCTCCGAGAGTTAAATGATCGGTTCAATGAGAAGAATAATGAATTACTTCTTTGTATGGCATGCTTTGAGTCCAAGTAATTTATTCTTTGCTTTTGATAAAGCAAAGTTGATGCAGCTTGCCCAATTTTATCCAAGTGATTTTTCTGAACATGACCTCAAGTTACTCGAAGAATAACTTGAACTTGAGAATTACAATTGGGATGTGCGCTCTAACAATGAATTTACATAATTGAAAGGGATTACTGATCTTGCGCAATAGATGGCTGAGACAAAAAAAATATCAAATCTCCCCTTTAGTGTACTTGCTTCTGACACTAGTACTAATCCTACATGTAGCAACCCCAAGTGTAGAGCGAGTATTTTTTGCGATGAATATTGTGAAGAATCGGTTATGCAATCGAATGGGGGATTTGTGGATGAATGATTGCTTGGTT